TCTGACCTGTGAAATTATTATTCATATCTCTTTCTATTCACGTCATATAATTTGCATTTGTTTCCTGTAGCTCTGTTCTTTAAAGAGGGCATGAGTTAGGAAGTAATAGGAACATGATTGCAGTTTCGATCCTCTTCTATTTCTCAATTGTAATTAGCATTTAAAAGCCTAACCCCAATTTGTATTTAAAAATGCCACTTTTGTAGTCATGGTAATCTTGCTCATCAGCATTTTCAAGTTTAGCATTTACTGCTTTTAGATACTATTTAGATGTTCTCATTTGAGCTTCTTTGTTTTCCAATCTTCCCCGTGAGGTTTATACAACTCAAAAGTATAATAATTTAGGTCAGTGGTTTCCAACCTTTCTGTCAGGGAGGGGGGAGGGGGATAGTTCTGCAGAAGCGGCAGGCACATGCACCCCCCTACTTGCACAAATGGTGTGTGTGTGTGTGTGTGTGTGTGTGTATGACCATGCACGCACGCACCCATCTGCTTCGCACCCAAGTGGAACTTCATGCAGGCTTGCCCACAGTTTTCTGCAGCTTGGTTCTGAATGGGCCATGATCTGCAGTGGGGGGGGGGGTGTTTGGCATCCCCTGATTTAGGTAACTAGTTCATTTAAATCTAAATATAGAAAAAATACAATCAATACTGATTAATTATATCCTATTAACTCATAGTCTATTCTTACCAACCATATAGATAGATGTTTTCCACAATGATCTATCCCTAACCTGATCTTTTAGGTCTTGTAATGGTGTGTGCCCATCACATTGTAATTGAATCCATCCATCTTGCTGCTGGTCTTCCTCTTTTTCTCTTTCCTTTCACTTTTCTCAGCTTTAGAACTTTTTCCAGAGAACAAATGTGTCCCAAGAGAGCCTGAGTAAGAACTCTGGGTTGATGTGGTCGATGATCTGTTTGGTTTATTTTCTTGGCTGTCCACAATATTCTCAAAAATCTTCTCTAACACTAAGGTTCAAAAGCATCAATACTTTTCCTATTCTGCTTCTTCAAAGTCCAACTTTCACTTCCGTAGAATGTCACAAGGAATATCATGGCTTGTTTGATTATAGCTACAGTTTATCCCAGCATTTGGCTATCTTTCCCAAGATCTTTATGACTGCTCTGTCAATTGCTAGTCTGCAATAATTTTTTTGACCCTAATGAGAGCTTTTGGAGAAAAGAATCAGTGAATAATTGTGCTTCAACAAGACACACAATTCAAGTGGCTTTCAGTGGTGTAGACTTCAATTTACAGAATCATAGGGCTGGGAGGGACCTTGAAGGTCTTCTAATCCAATCCTCTGCCCAAGGCAGGAATATACCATATCAGACAAATAGTTGTCCATTTTTTTCTTGAAAACGTCTAACAATGGAGCCCTCACAATTCTTGGAGCCAATCTGTTCCATTGATTAATTGTACTTACTATCAGGAAATTCTTACTTTTTCCAAGTTGGATCTTTCTCTGACCAGCTTCCATCCACTGCTACTTGTTCTGCTCTCAGGTGCTATGGAGAATAACTCAATACCTCTGCACTGTGACAGCCCTTCAAATATTGGAAGATGGCTATCATGTCTCCTCTAAGCTTTCTCTTCATTAGGCTAAACATAGTTAATTCTCTTAGCCATATATCCTACAGCTTATTATTGCTCTTCTCTGCATTCATGATCACTTTCCCCCAAATTCTTACACCTTCCATTCCTTCAACTGTTTCAATCTTATTGGTAAGAATAAAGTCTAGTATAGCTGACCCTCTGGTTCCCTCTTCCACCTTTTGGATGACAAAGTTGTCATCTGGGCATATCAGGAACCTGTTTGATCTTCCACTCGCTTAGGTTTATGTCAGGGCAAAGTCCCTGATTCATACAATAGAGTGTTTCCTGCATACCTCACTAACGGATTTGCAAAACGTCCATGCATTTCCTTGGCCTGCAATACACACATAGAACAATGTTATTTCTTTCTCTTGTAATGTCCACCCAAATACGTCCTTGGTATTGTGTTTTTGTAGAGGTTCTTCACTTACGATGCAACTCCTCTTTTGTTGGGTCTGTTTCTTTTAAATAAATTATATCCTTCTAGCAGTATGTTCCAATCATAGGTTTCATCCCACCAAGACTCAGTAAAAAGCAACAATATCATACCTGCCTTCATGTACTAGGACTTCAAGTTGTCCCTTTTTATTCCACATACTTGGAATCTTAGTGTACAGACATTTGAGCCCTTTAGGGCTGACTGTGCATTTGCTTCCTCTGTTGTTTTGAGTACTTTTCCTTCTCACCAGGACATAGAGGGAGGGAGGGAGAGATGGAAGAAGGGAGGGAGGGAGATTTATTATTTATTATTGAATTGATTATTTATTATTGAAATGCGGGATTCTGTGTGTACGCAGGGCAGCTTCTAATATTTCAGCACTGAAAAAAAATTGGACTCAATTTAAGGATTATTTATTATTATTTGTTCTAATGCAGGGCTTTATGCTCTTTCACAGTTGCAAAAATGACGGGAAAACACCCAGTGAAGCTTTTAGCCATCAATGCATTACAATACTTAGGAAAAGAGAACATTTTAAAAGTCTGCCATTCAAGAAACTGACAAAGAAATAAATATGTAAAATCCCAAACAGTCAGGATTTGTTCACCACTACTGTTTTTAAAAGCTGTGTGGCAGGCAAGTCATCTATTAAGTCACCCTATTACAGTCTATTCACTTTGTTGTCAAGAATAGTCCTGGCAAAAAAATAGCAAATAGCATTGGAATAATACTGCTTATTACTTATTTAGTGTTCATGCATACAAATTCTGAAAATTGTACCCGGAGTAAAACAGTGAGATAATTAAACCCTCACTCTAAAGTCTTCATTGACATTTTTTGTGCTCTTTAAGCTGTGGAGAATTGGGCTTACTTTTCATGCTAAGCCATTGTGTGGGTTCTTTGGTTTGTGTTCAGCATCAGCAATTGTTCTTTGTAAACTATGCATTATGCTTTAGTTTTGTGCAGGAACCTAGGGTCATGAGTCACTTGTTCCAATGAATAAAGTGGTTGCCTGTTGCTTGTTCAACAAACAACGATTAAAACAAGAGGCTTAGGGAGATGTGGGCATTCAGCTATTACTATTTTTGGTCCTCTTATTTCTTTCATTGCTGCTTTTCCAATTCCTGGATGGTTCTTCCCTGAAGAATCATTAGAAACAAAATAAGAGATTTGGAAGGGACCTTGGAGGTCTTCTGGTCCAACCCTTGCCAAGACAGGAAACCCTATATTATTTCAGACAAATATTGTTCAATCTCTTTTTAAAAATCTCCAGGGTTGAAGTATTTACAACTTCTGGAGGCAAGTCGTTCCATGATTAATTTTTCTGCCAGGAAATTTCTCTTTAGTTCTAGGTTCTCTCCTTGATTAGTTGCCATCCATTGCTTCTTGTCCAGCCTCAAGAGCTTTGGAGAATGGGTTGACCCACTCAACTTTGTGGCAGATATTGGAACCCTGCTATCATGTCACCCCTAGTCCTTCTTTTAATTAAACAAGAATACCCAATTCCTGCAACTGTTCCTCATATATTTTAGCCTCCAGTCCCTTAACTATCTTTATTGCTCTTCTCTGCACCCTTTCTAGAGTCTCAGCATCTCTTTTATGTCCTGGCGACTAAAACTGGATGCAATATTTCAAGTAAGGTCTCATCAAGGCATTATAAAGTGGTGTCAATACTTCAGAAGGATAGACCTTGATTCTATCCGTCTGTTAATGCAGCCTAGGACTGAGTTGGCAATGTGTGGGCAAGGGGAGCAGAAGGCTTTGGAAACTGCCTGTAGTGCATAAAGGTAAAGGTTCCCCTCGGACATATGTCCTAGTCGTTCCTGACTCTAGGGAGCGGTGCTCATCTCCGTTTCAAAGCCAAAGAGCCAGTGCTGTCCGAAGATGTCTCTGTGGTCATATGGCTGGCATGAATAAATACTGAAGGCACACGGGACACTGTTACCTTCCCACCAAAGGTGGTCCCTATTTTTTTACTTGCATTTTTACATGCTTTCAAACTGCTAGGTTGACAGTAACGGGAACTCACTCCATTATGCGGCGCTAGGGATTCAAACCTCTGAACTGCCGACCTTTCTGTTCAGCATAACAACCTTCATAAAATGGTTGGTTTAATCTCAGTGTGCTTGTGCTTAAATTCCCAAAGAATTTAGAGTACAGGTAGTCCTTGACTAACAAGAGTTTGGTGGCCTTCATAGTTACAAGTGCTGAAAAAAGTGACTTATGATCATTTTTCACATTTGCGACCTTCACAACATCCTCATGATCACATGATCAAAATTCAGATGCTTGGCAACTGGTTCGTATTTATGACAGCTATAGTGTCCTGGGGTCATGTGATCCCCTTTGCCAACCTTCTGACAAGCAAAGTCAATGGGTAAGCCAGATTCACTTAGTAACTGTGTTAGTGACTTAACCATTGGGACGATTCACTTAACAACAGCAGCAAGAAAAGTCGTCCAACGGGCAAAACTCTCTTAACAAATGCTTCACTTATCAAGATACATGTTGGGCTCAATTTGTGAGTGCAAGGACCCCCTGTATCTCTTCCTCACAACAACCACAACAACCCTGTGAGGGATTTTACTGAGAACTAGCTCCCGCTGGAAGCTTCGCGGCTAAGCGACAGAGGACGGTACACCCTCCAACCCACCCCTCATCCCCGCATCGCCTTCCCCTCAGCGCCCGACCACTCAGGGTCCAGGAGCACGGGGGGGGGGAGGCTTTGGCCAGCGCGTGCCGCTTTACCGGGGGGGGGAGGGACAGTGGGCGTGGCTCCCGTGGTTGAAGCCGCGGACGGCGAGAAGAGCAGAGGTTGGTTTGTGTGTGTGTTGTGTGTGGGTAGGTGCTCGTCTTCGCGGGAGCGCGGCCGAGTTGAGCCGGCGCTCGTCTTCTCACGTGGCCCGGTAAGAGGCGGTGGCAGCGATCGGCCGGCCGGCAACTCGTCCGTTCTCCTGACCTTCCCCGCGTTTGCTTCTGGGCGGGGAGGTCGGGCACGGTCGGGCGAGGGAGTCCAGCAGGCATTTCTTTCGGCGAGGGAGGGAAGGAGCCTCTCGAGGGTGAGAAGGCTGCAGCGTTTGCGGCATCGTCCCCGTGGAGGCTGGAGAAAGTCCGAGGAAGGGAGCCGGAGAGAAAGGCGAGCCCGCGCTTCCCTCCACCCGATCCACTTGGTTTCTTGAACCCGGGGCGTCTTCGGCAGGACCCAGGTGATTGCCCCCGTCGCCCTTATTTCGGGGCGAAGGCGGCAGCCCTTGCTTGCGTGAAGTTTCCACCCAAGGGGATGGGTGGGATGAAGAACTTCCTCCCGCGAAGTTCCCGCAATAATAGGCTCCGCGATTAGGGATGCTAGTAAAAAGGAGGCATGCCGTTTGAGGGGTTCAGGGGGGCTTTTAAACATTTTTGGGAGCCTCCAGCGCGGCACTCTGTATCTACTCGGGAGTAAGAAGGGAGAGCGAAGGGGATGATCACTTCGTAGATCAGTGTGGGCCCTGCACCAAGCATAATTACGTAATTTTAATTACTTCTTTTTTTAGTAGTGGATCTGCAGGGTGGCTATGGACTCTGGCTTTTAATCCTAAAAGGGTGACAGATAACCTGGTTCTTCTTGATGGATTCCCAGAGCTGAATTGGAAATTTTTGTTTGGAATTGGGGTGTGTATATTGAGGATTTATGATATCATTTTTTGAGGAATAGTTACTTAGAAGCAACTGTAAGGTAATAGTACAAGAAGTCCTGTTTCTGCACTTCACTGTAATCAGTGTGTTACCAAAAGTGCACAGGAATAAGAGCTGAAAGAGAACAAACAACAAGAACAAAAAGATACTTAACCCCTTAACTTTAGATATGTTTAAAGGAATAGTGTTTTCTGGAAAAGAGAAAATTTAATTTAATTCTTAGGTTGTATATTTAACAACAGACCTGCGGTAGATAGTTACAGAAAGATACAAGAAAATGTGGAAGATGTTTACATTTTCTGCTTTATTTGAAAGCATAGCAAAATGTCATATTTTAACTGGGTATGTTAATTTGAAGATTGATTCACTACTTAGATACTTCTAAAGTACCTAGGTGCCAGTTTATTTAGACTTTGGTTAGAGTTAGACACATCTAACAAAAAAAACTAAAACAGCCTCATGTTTTTAGGTAAATATAGACATGAGACAGAACATCTTTCCATTTTGTTTCCCTGACAATATTTAAGGTTCATTCTTAATATAATAATGAATTTATGCTGGTTAATTAATGCACATAAAATCAGCTCAATAAATTAAGCATGACAAGAAAAGTAATAAGTAGAAAGAAGCTATTATGAAATTGTTGCTCTGGAATCATGAAAGAAAAAGATTCTGATTCTTTTATAGGAATTAAAGAAATAGAATCAAGGTTCAAATTTGCAATGAAAGATTAGCTTTTGAGATAATTCCAAGTTTCCAAGCATGCATAATATTAATATAAATTTGTTTTTATTGTAAATTTATTGCATGTTATAGCACATTAAAACTTTTAAGATGTGTGTACAGGGCAATGTTTTTAGGTGCACCTGATGTCAAACATCTCTAAACTGATGAAAATATTATCTTTTTAATCACAGCCAAGGCATGAACTTCATAAATCCTTGGTTCAGAGAAAACATCAAAGTACCATTTAATTGAAGAATAAAGGAAGTATGAAAGAAAAACCTATCGGACTCTGAATTCTTGGACCACAAACAAACTTGCTTCAAAAATGGTTCAGTACAAAAATATTGCTGCTCATTTTCTTGAAGAATGGTGCCTGCGGGATCCATTGCTTGGCTTTAAGAAACATCAACATATAAGGAAAAAACAGAGACTGATTCGGATAACGGGACTTTTCCTGGGTATTATGGCTATGAGCACACTCTCACTTTCAATTAGTGCCTTTTTCCAGTTGGGACCTTATAGCACAGAGACCATCAGCAGTCTGGACAGTGAAAAGTCCAAGTCCGTGCGTCAAAGAACTCTATTGGACTACCAAGAACGGAATCAAAACGATACTCCGGGTTCATCTGTTTCTTTGAAATTTGCAGATGAACATGATAACCACACGGAACATTCTCAGGGGGACTACCCAACAGATCTTTTTTCTCTTGAGGAAAGACGGCGGGGTGCTGTGATCCTTCATATCATTGGAATGATTTACATGTTTGTAGCCTTAGCTATTGTCTGTGATGAGTTCTTTGTTCCTTCACTGACAGTCATCACAGAAAAACTTGAAATTTCTGATGATGTTGCTGGGGCAACGTTTATGGCCGCTGGTGGCTCAGCCCCCGAACTCTTTACTTCTTTAATAGGAATCTTTATATCTCACAGCAATGTTGGCATTGGAACCATAGTTGGATCTGCAGTATTCAACATCCTATTTGTGATTGGGATGTGTGCTTTATTTTCTAAACAGATTTTGCACCTTACTTGGTGGCCACTCTTTCGGGATGTGTCCTTTTACATCTTAGACTTGATACTGCTAATCATCTTCTTTTTGGATAATTTCATTAGGTGGTGGGAAAGTTTAATATTACTGAGTGCATATATATGCTATGTGACTTTCATGAAATTCAATGGGCAAGTAGAAGAATTTGTGAAAAGTAAACTTAGCAGCAACAAAGTGGATGAAGTATCACCAGAACCTGATGGAAAGGTTAGTTATTGCAAAGACAAATTATTGCAGTTATTAATGAAACCTTTCTGTAGCCACACTTACATACCCAAAACATACCATTGTTATATTGCCTTGATTTTTGTATGCTAGGAGCAGACTATTTTAATGTTTTTATCTAAATAACATTTCATCTGAGTTTTGTGTCTACAAATGTGAATCAATATGTGGTTAACAATCACAAAGTGTTTAATACTGCTATAAGATTTTTATTTGATTCATCTTATTTACATGTCAAACATGTACAAGATAGCAGGTATAGGTATAAACATAAACAAAGAAAATAAGTACAGATAAATGGAGACAGTAGAACAGAGACGGTAGGCACACTGGTATCCTTATGCATGCCCCCTTTAGGTTTTTATCAAAAACTGAATCTCAAAGATAAAGCATGTGTAACTAAGAAACAATATATAAAGACACAAGGAACATTCAGTTCAATTGAAATTCAATTGAACACATTGAAGTAATAGTAGGACAGTTTCTAAAGGCAAGCAAAGTATAAAACAAGCCCATATAACATTATCTGAATACTATCACTGTTTGCTTCACATTGAAGAAGAAAAGGCAGTATAATTAGCTATCCTGCTTCCAAATCAATGCATAATGTGTTGTGGATGTGTTATGCTGCTTGATTCATAGATTATGCCAATCTGATAAGCAGTCTTTACAGTTTGCAGTTCCGTTTTTTATCTCTTCTGTGGCACAAAATGTACTACTCGCAAATATTGTATGGAGGAAAAAAGTTTATTACTCACAAGATGTGGTCTATTATTTCCCCTATATGTCAGAGATACCTGTTAGAAGTTTTCTGCAAATGTGAAGATTTCATGACAAAAAATCTTTGGCTGTTGTTGGAGTTTTCACATCTAGGTTACTTATGTGTGTGATTCATGCCTCAGTTTCTTAACATTGGCCTAATTCAATTATTTGTCAGGGTTTCAAAAATGTTTATTGCTAGATGAATACTCTTGCACTGAAATTCTTCAGAATAAACACATAGTTGCAAGGTTGTTAAAATAATTTGGAGAAAGATTTTGATTGATAAGGATTTATATAAGATAAAAATATTTTATATTCATGATTTTTGTATGGTTACTGTAGCAAGCACAAACATAAACCTTGCACAATGACAAATTTTCGACTTTATCAAGTACTGAATATTATGGTTTTGAGTACCAGGAAAATGCAAAATACAGTTTTCCTTGTATGATGTTACATTTCCACCATGAGCCCAATCTATGACAGTACTTGGGGTTGATAAAATATTTTATTCTCTGTTTGATTTATATTCTGCTTTTCATTCAGGAGTTTATTAGTCAAACTGGCTACTGATGTAGAGATTTGGTATGAGTGTGAAGATGACATTCACTGTATTTTAATACTGCTGAGTAGTACAGGGACTTTTTTTAGGCTTGAGGTGGTGGCGCAGTGGTTAGAATGCAGTAGTGAAGGTTACTTCTGACTGCCAATTGCCAGCAGTTCATCAGTTTGAATCTCACCAGGCTCAAGGTTGACTCAGGTCAGTAAAATAAGGACCCAGATTGTTGAGGGCAATATATTGAATCTGTACACTGCTTAGAGAGGGCTATAAAGCACTAGGAAGTGGTATATAAGTCTAAGTGCTATTACTATTGAGTGATTGAATTCACCATAATGTATAATGTGATGCTTCCCTTACTTCCTATAATGGCCTTCAAAGTTATGGTTTATCATTTATTGTGGTTGATCAAGTAATATTTTGTCTTAAAATAGCTTTACAATGGACATTGTTAATTCGTTTTTAAATTTATACTGCGGTGTACTGATTTTTCACAATACAACAATAAACATTATGAAGGAACAACATGTTACATCAATTCAAACAGCATTCACAAAGAAACAATGAATCCTAGTTAAAATATTAACAGAATACCAATAAAAATATATCATCCATATCTGACATAGCAACAAGTTATAAATTTGCAATAACAAGGACATAAATGCTTATTTAAAGTAAGTTTCTATTAAAATCAACCCATGATTTTAATCTACTCTAAGGCCCTGGATCTACCTTTTTCTAATCTAGGCCTCCTTTCTTGATGACACTCATAATATACCAAATAGGATGCTTGGAAAGCCTACTCATAATTTCATGGAGAAATTATTATTTCATGTAGGCAAGACCCAGGCCACAGAGGGCTTTATATGTTAAACACTTCAAATTGAGCTCAAAAAGCAAGAGGAAGCCAGTGTAATTAAGCCAAAACAGGTGTCGTGTACTCAAAGGGAAACACCAGACAGATGTTGTGCATTCTGGGTTTATTGCATTTTCCCAGTTTTTTTCAAATGCATTCCCATGTAACTGCATTGCAGTAATCTATTCAGGAATAAATCAGAGGTGGCCTTCAGCAGGTTCTGACCAGTTTTGGAGAACTGGTAGCAGAAATTTTGAGTAGTTCAGAGAATCAGTAAATACCACCTCTGACTGGCCCCACCCACATTTATTCTCTGCTTCCCGAGTCCCAGCTGATTGGGAGGAAATGGGAATTTTGCAGTAACCTTCCCTTGGAGTGGGGTGGGAATGGAGATTTTACAGTATCCTTCCTCTGCCATGCCCACCAAGCCACACCACACCCATCACACCACGCCCACAGAACCAGTAGTCAAAATTTTTTAATCCCACCACTGGAGTAAATCACAAAATTCAGGTCAGATAAAGCAAAGTTGATAACTCATACAGCTAAAAGAAAAGTATCCTTAACCCCTATTTCTAGCCAAGTACTCATGATAGGATGAGATCAAGCAGTACCCTAAAGTTACACACTTCTTTGAGTGGAAATGCAATCCTTACCAATGCAAGGGAAATGCCCCTTGTACTAGAGCAGGGGTGTCAACTCTATTTCATTGAGGGCTGCATCAGAGTTGTGTTTGACCTCAAGGGCCCAGGGTGGGTGTGGCCAAGGTGGGTGTGGCCAGCTCAACATCACTCGTGTTGGGGCACCTGTGGTGGCCGAAACACTCTGCCACTAAAAATAGGCTCTCGAGCTGTGACAGCCCTCTGCAACCCTCTGCCAACAAAAATGGAGCTCGAGCTCCCTTTTTGCTGGCAGAGGCACTGCGGGCCAGTCCTTCACTGTTTCCAGTGATCTGGCCCCCAGGCCTTGAGTTTGACATCCCTGTACTAGAGTTATCACCAACAACCAAACCCACTAGATCCAAGTTTATGTTTCATCAGTACCACAGTCTAGTCCAAGAAGGAGCTGATTACAGGGATTAATGCACCGTGTGAAACTAGAAAGAAGAAAACAGAAAAATGTCTAAATCTAGCTTTATACCTCCTGACAATCATACCCAAAGGTTTCATATAAATATTGAAGAACATAGGAGATGGAACAGAACCCTGCAGTTCCCTAGCAACTCTAATCCCCTGATATAGGACTCCAAAAACTGCCATAGAGATAGGAACAGCACCACGATAGTCTCTGATCTCCAATTCTCTAGTACTCCAAAAGGGCTTAGTGATCAGTAGTATGAAAAGCTGCTGAGAGATCCAGGGGTGCTGGCAGGGAGATACTTTTCCCACTACAGTCTTCAGTAGATCCTCTGTCAAAACAATCAAAGTTGTCTCCTTGGCCCTCTACTGAAACCAGACTAAGATGGCTTCAGATAACCAGCAGTGTTTGGAATTGGTCAGCCACCTTGTTTAAGAAAGTAGCTTACAGTTATTAAAAATGGAGGAACTGAAGTTGTTTGTTTCAGTTGAGAGTGCTCCTGTGTATAAGTTATACTCAGAAATAAGCTCTCTGAGGCTTATTGGAATTATTTTCATAGAAGTGTTTTAGTGCCTTAGGTTCTGGAAAATATTTTGGAAATTTGGTCTTAATATATATAATGCAGGTGGAATTTGTAAAGCTTGTAACATGATATTTCTGTCTTCTTGACCAAGCATTACATCAGAACTGGCTTCTAAAGCAATTATTGAAGTGGTAGATTTTGCAGGGCAGATAATGTGCCTTGCAATGACATCTTTTATTGACTGCAGATTTTATCCTGTATTGCAAGGACACTATAGTAGTCAATGACAACTGTAAGGCAATATTGTGATGAAGAATTTATTTTGATTGCTAAGTATTTCTGTATTCTACAGAGTCTTTAATTTTTAAAAAGCAGCAGCAGCAGCCCATCATAAAAAATAAAAAAATACATTCATCTGGCAGTACTTCTACATTTACAGTATGGAGAACTGACTAGCTAACGTTCTTTATTTTGGATCTACAGGTACCCAAAATGCCCTGTCATGTTTGCAAATCTGGAAAGGTGTTAGCCAAAGAAAATTGTTGTCCCTGGTATTTATCTTTTAAGACTATACAGTAACCTGGGAGAAGGTCAGGAGAGTTCTAAGATACCTTATTAAAGAACCAAAAGGCTAAAGGGTAATCCTAGCAACAAAGCTGCAGCCCTAACAAAATGTACACAGTCCCAATTAAAAAAGAAAAGAAATAAGCTGAAGATATTCTGTATAAAACTACTGGTACAATAGACACTCTAAGAAATGATCGAAAAACAAAAGCTGAGGAAGAATTTAAACATTATCAGTATGCTGGATAGGTTTACATTTAATTTTAATATTTGGTGAAATCTAGACCTGCATGGAATCATAACATTTCAGACCTATGCATTACCTAGAATTCAACCATTTAGAGTTCATTTTTTAAAATCCTCATAAATTTGTATGAGATAGAAGCTTACATTAATCATGTCCTTTTTATCAACAACTCTAAAATGTTTTGTACTAACCAGTTTTTAAATAACAGAAAAGTTAGTTTCTTATGGTAAATGTAAGAATGTAAGAAAAAATGTAATTCTCGTTTATCACGGCTGTTAAAAAGTTGCTGTCATTTTGTTTACAAAGCGTTGTTAAATAGAGGATATTAGCATATTGTATAAACTGACCAGAGGTGTAGTAAGTTGGAGAGTTACAGGTTAAACTCCAAGTGGCA